CCGGGATGAATGTTGGCCCCCCCCAAGACGAAATCCTGGGCACGCCCCTGGTTGTAGGTAGATATTTTCTAAATCGATTAATATCGACGGCATTCTTCCAGGACTCGGGAGTTTTTTCTCCGCCGCTTCGATTGCATCCATGATGATGATCGAACGGGTGATGAAACTCACAATCGACGTGGATAAACGCGAGAACATTCTCGACATCGAACATTGACCTTGAAGAGCCGCTCCGACACTTCTACCGAGGGGGACACAGAGCTCAACATAGATGGGGAGAGCATTTGCACAAAGATTGAGTAAGTGAGTGATAAAGTGAGTGCTCATAGATGGACATCGTGGAAAGTTTCGGTGACCATGCGTCGCTCCAAGGGTAGGTGAGAGAATCTGAGAATTCCTTCAAAGCGCTCATTATCAACCGGACGGCTGTTCACCTCGATCGGTCAGGATTGTCGATCGCTAATAGATCGCTGGATCGATATGAAATGAATGCTCGAAGTGGATTGAGTGTTGTCTATCTCGACAAGGGGAGACAATAATGAGGATTTCCGACTCGAAAATCTCGTTTCGTTTTGATAAGTATGTCCTATCTCCTCATGTGTCGATTTTGATGCGACCGGGTTTCATTCTATTATGGAAGGAAGTACTTTGTTCGAGTACTTTGGAATGACGCCGATGTCTTCGCTTCGGCAAGCCCGTGCAGAAAGTCCTGTCTCTCTTCTAGGATCGACCGACGCTCGAGACACTGGCTTGATTTCGGGGTATCGATCGATTCATCAATAATTTGAGAATCCGCTCCCCCGATAAATGACCTGAGTCGCCGGGCTCGGAGTCGAGGATTCAATGTGTTCCCATCGATTTGCTCAAACTCGACTCTGCGAGATTTCGCAATCGGTATCGTCTCTAGGGATCGCGTGGCTCCAGCCTGAGGAACAGAAGAGCAAAGCTCAGGTTGCGCTTCCGTGATGAACTCCGCGCTCCCAGCGTCCCAGCTCATTGAGGGGGCGATTCTAATCCATCGATAGATTCCTTTATCCCTTGACAGCGTTGATGATGTCGTCAGGAGGACACCTCGAGAAGCTGTCCGCGACCAATCGAGTCGGGCGCTGATCCCGAAGATCGTCTGGAAGCCCTGAAAAAGGCGCGACGTCCCCGAACTGTCGAAGCCATTCGATGTCAAAGGGCGTCGGTCGCGGTTTTTGGCGGTTTTACTGCTCCACTCACATAGCGAGGGTGAATCGTTTGGTGGTCGTCTTCTTTCCCGTTGCCAGGACCGCAGAACCGCTAACAGCGAGCGAGAGAGAGAGGGAGGCTAAAAGCGTTCGATGGAGATTTCGGGCGCAGCACGAGAAACAGAACGTTTTACATTCCCAGGTCTCTTCCTCCGCCTCCCTCCTGCCGCTATCGAGTCGATCCTCCGACTGGTTGCTTGCTCCACATTCAGACTGCGTCTTCACTCCCAGAGAAAAAGCCGCTTCCGAATTGTCCCTCGGCTGCTCGCTATGCGCATTTGTAAATCGGCGGCCAGTGCCGTTGTGTACACAGGAGAACTGCTTGTACATGGGGGAGAAAAAGAAGCGGCGACGGCAGCAGCCGCATCGGTCTTACGTGGCCTCGTCTAGAGGGGAAAAAGAGTCCCTCGCGGAGAAGGACTTTTCCCCTGCGCCTTATCTGAGAAGGCCCATAATGAGCGGTGATAACTCAGTTTCGTACAGCATTAATATGCTTATTTCTCTTGAGTTCCTCCCGCGGAACCGGAACTCTGATGTTCCGTCTTAAGCTCTCATTACGCGAGAAGCTCCGGGTTTGTATAATCATCGATGTCGTCGTCCATGTGCACTTGACTTATACGTAGATTAGATCGCGCGCAGATTCGTTTCTATTGGTCACCGTTGAGTCGGACAGCAGGTCCCCGACGGAATCCTTGTGAGAGCGTTCTCGCAATGGCGATCGAACGCGAAGAGCCGAAGGGACGCTCATTCTGCGTCTTTAGTCCAGCGCTATTTGCGGCCGTCGTCTTTGTCCCCGAACTGAGCTCAAGTCAATTAGAGGCTATCGAATATGTGAGACCATTGTTTTCTTTTTCCACGCTCCCTCTTCTCGGGTCGAGCACTTCATGCATCAACTCCCACTGTCTGAGTCTTCTCATCCATGAGAGAGTCCCGTGATTCCTTCGTGACTTTCCCCGTGATGACGGTACAATAAACTAAAATCATTGTTGACTAACCATGCTTTGCTTCAGCTTTCGACATTCCCAGCTAGACGAACATCCGCTCAATCCATTCGCTCTTTCAATCAATCAATTGCCGCAGTCTATTTCACTCGAGCGCTACTTCCATGAGTCAGGCAGCGGCACCTAAACCGAAATTCTGACGTCACCATTATCAGCCGATCAAGGATATCTGACTGAGCGATCGGATGCCTTGTCGGACAGAGCTCGGAGCTCACGATAGTCGAAGAGTTTCTAATTCGATTAGCAGCACGAAGAGCGGTAGCGTTTCCAGCCAGCCAGCTGGGGCTAAAATTGCAACAACAGCAACATTGCGATCATCCATTCATGAAGTCCCCATACGTTCATTCATCAAGCATATCATACAACTCGGCTACTGGATATCAATCGATGCTAGAAAATGGCGCAACGATCCAGCGAACGGATCATCCTCTAGATTTTCTTCATCGTTCAGCGAATGTGTGCGCGTGTACTCCTGACAAAACTGGTGTGGTTTTTGAACTCTCGGGAACAGAACATAAGAGAGAAAATCCGGAGGCGTCCATCGCGGTCAGACGTGTCCGAGATCACGTCTGCCTAACAAGGACAAGATGGGTCAGCTACATGAAATCACCGTAAATGTCCAATGTATTTGAAAGGCGGGCTCGTCGATTTCTTCCGTCCATCAAGGGGGGACTAGAGCCCGGTCACTCATGCAGGGGGAAGACCAATCCAGTAGTACGTTGAGCATACTGAATGCTCACACAGACGGCTCGCGAGGGAAGCTTCGCTTTCTTCGCAGCTCGGACACCTGGATTCCCACCCTAAGGAACGCCCGTTTATTGGGGTCTGCCCGTCGATCAAAATATTCACGGAATTTCTTCAATCAAATTCGGGAGTCGGATGATACTAGGGGCAGCAATTTTCAGTCTTGCGGTCCTACGGCGCACCTCATTACTTGTGACGAGCCGGCGTAGAACATAACTTGCACGACGGGAGTAGGGAGAGAGCCTGAAGGACGTCTGTGTTCGGTGACTGGGTGTGTCTGTATGAGTAGGGGTAGTGGAATCCTGTACGACGGAAGAAGGAATCTGCTCGAGGGAAGTCGGTCCGTCTGTCAACGTCGACGAGCGGGTGTTCTTTGAAAATTCTGTCTTGAGGAAACGATGAATCGAGTCGGATTGGAAATTGCTTGGCAAGTTCGATTGCGAGCAAACAAGGTTGGATTGGGGCCGTTGCATGCACAATCGATTTGGAGTTCTCTGTTTCTTTCTCTCGATCGACACTAGACTTCCTTCCTCTTTTTTTTCGGCTTTGTTTCTCATGTGGTCACTGATAGATATTTTCTCTCACCTGTCCCTTTGGTTTCGTGAAGTAGGAGCGAAGCCAGTGAAGAAGAGGACAAGAAGGAGGACAAGAGAGAGGAAACAGAATAAAATATCACATTATTCGCTTGTGGAGGTTCACTACTTCCAGATCTACTCGACTATTTATTTGGAGTTATCACTTATGCGCGTTCGAGTGCCCGTCGCTCAAATGAGCGGAGCTGGCGGCAACAGGGAATGATTGTGCCCGGGTATACGGTGGTGAGATCGCAAGCTAGTGTCGAAGAGTGCGCCGACCGTAAATCGGAAGTTTTGCGGTATCAATCGAAAGACGCACTCGAAATTCGCTCGAGAGGGGTCGTAGGAGTCTTAAGATAGAAACTCCCAGGAGGGTCTAACAGGAGAAACTCCCGCATCCGAACCTCCGAAATGGAACACCGGCCAGGAGGCCACCTCGATCAGGAATTCTCGTGAGTTTCATTGACGAAAGCGAGTCGATACGCACTACCAAACTTGAGAAAGTAATAAAGGGCCCCGCGAATAGTGACTTGGGAGTCCTGTATAAGGAGAAGCGCGAAACGGACGCAGCGAGTGATCGCAGAACGAATGAGGATCGTCGACCCGAAAGCCACGACCGGAGACCGGATACGGAGCAACGAAAATTAAACGGATCCGAGAGGGAAGTTTTAGAGAGTGATCGAAGCGAAATAATATCGATGTCGTTTAATTTCGATTCGGGACAACAAAGCTCTGGTCTCTCGGCTGATGAGCGGGAACTGTCGGGAGTAGAGCTGGATCCTAATTGAGATACAGGAATGAAAAATCTCCGAAGAAGAATGAAGGTTTTTGGATCGAGGTCCGTGACACGACAAAACATACGGAAACGACGCATACGAAACGCATTGAGCAATCGTTATAGGGATCCCGATTAGGCACCACTAAGATCACAATACTCCATAGTAGTATTTCAAAGTGTACGAGAATCTTACACCTGGCATTTCAGGAAACGAACAGACCAAATAAGAAACTGGATGATGCGGACACCAATCTACGACGGGTCGACTCGAATATTGAATAGCGCAGTGTTCCCCGTTCGGCTCATTCGGAGATATCAGATTTTGCGAACTTCCTTTCGAATGCGAAGATTGCGAGTGAACGGAGCGAGAGTTGGAAATTTCGAACTGCGAGAGGGAGGTTTCCGCTCTGAAGAAGCCAACTTCCGAGAGGGAACTTTTTTATGCCCACAAATTACTGAGCGGTGCGGCGTTCGGCTTCTCGGGGTTTTAAGATCGATCCTATCGTGGTATAGGGAATCAGCGAATTTTAATAGAGGAGCAATCAATGTTAAAGAGCTTCTTTTCTGCTTATAATATTCGTGGACGTGCTAATCTCTACGGTGTACGTATTTGAGTTTGAATCAGAAACGATCATAGTAGTTTAGCAGAGAACAAACATAGATATACCCTCTAGAATCTAATAGAGAGGGATCCTGAGGAAAAGATTAAAGATCGGTAAGCTGCTCTTTCAGCACGGAGAGAGTAATGACGAATAGAAGAATTCGCTAGGGTAGAAGTTGAAAAAATGACAATTCCAGTGCACACTTTAGAAACGGGCGATCCACTTACCAAGAACCAGCGTCGGCCAACTTTCCATCCGCGCTGTCAGACCCTTAAGAAATATTTGATGCAGAAACATCAGGGTTTCACTGGAACGGTCGGATCAAAAGATTAGACTCTCTGGTTGCTTCCGGCTGTTATTGTCTGAATGAAGCTCTGGACTGGTCGCCGAGATCAGCATGTTTTTCTAAGAGGATAAAACGGAAAACTTTCGATTCCGGCACCCCGACAATCAGGAGACCAGGATTCTGAAACTCGATGTATTCCCTACTGCTCAGCTCGCAAGGAATTCTGAGTCCGAATCCGAAACCACCGACAGCGCACGGAAAATTTTCGGGACGCTGTCGTTCTTTCCCCGAATGTCGAGGCGGTCGGCACCGAGACCATTTGAAAGACGATCCCGGATGATTAATTCCAAACGTGATCACGACCGGGGTCTCCGAAGGCCGCGATGAGAGACCTAATGAGACGCTCATTGGAGAGGCCAAGTGAGGTGAACGGAGGGGGACTGTTCGAATATTCACCAACGCAGGACGGTCCCCGTAAAAAGGAAAGATAGCCAGGCTCCCCAACCGGAGCAATCGAGCGCACTCTGGACTTTCGCTTCGCTTGTTCCCACCGACTTGCGGCGGGTCAAGGCTGCAAACTCTAATTCTCTTGATCGATCGAGTATGAACGCATGCATCGCGGGAAAAAGAAATTCTTTCGACGTCCGCGAATCGGATACCGAAGCATCCGACTGAACTGAGGAGCGCTCTTCCTTGTCGACCGAGGAGTCATTGAGCACCCGGAGGAATCCAATCAACCGGTGATGTCGAGGCTCCGCGCCGTGATCCGGACCACGGCGCGGCGCATCGCACCCATGAGGGAATGAGCTCCATGACGGAATCGGCTCCGCAATAGTGATAATTTATGCACGCATTTATCTCGATCAGTGACGTGACTCAAATAATCGCCGAAGACACGGCATCGGAGACTCTCAATCCTACGGAGAGAGGAAGGGGGCAGCTCGAGCATTCAATGGCCGAGATGAGTTGAATGGAAGATTGAAAGAAAGATCTGTAATCCGCTGAAGTGAAATGCGGCTGCGGAACTAATCGAGCGTGGGCATATCTCCAGCTCTTTGAGGGCTGTCTCCTCACCGCGCCCGTCAGAGTTCCTGCGAACGGTGAGCCGCTATTCCCTGTAGGTGGATGAAGTAATCATGGGAAATCAATGGAACCAGGGTCACCTTGGGGATCGGTCGTGGTAGAAAACCACTGAGGGAAAAACTGGAACCCGAGGGAGCATTGGCGACGCTGAATTCCTGCTATCGCCGCTTCTGTCAACGTACTTATTTGAGCTGGTTGGTCGGTCGCTCGCTTGCTTGCTCGCTCGCTCGCTCGCGGGTCTGACGGTCGTTGAGGCTTAGCTAGGACCTGGTATTGCTTCTGCTGCTCCTGCCGCGGCGAGCGACGTCGGCCGCACTTGCTGAACCTTGAATCCTTTTACCGCGTCTGCATCACTTAGCGCTGAGCCCTCTCGGTTAAACCAAGTGTAAGAACAGGCCGCGAGCGAGCGCGCAAGCGGCACCGAACATGCAGAGAGTGAAGCACGCACATAATCACCGCGGTCGTGGCGCTCGACAGTGCTTCCCAGTCAGAACTCACTTCAGCGTTTCTCGGTTCAGGTCCTTGTCGTTGCTCCTTTTGCTCGCCGTAGCAGAAGTCGCGAGAAAGAGCAACCTATACCTCGCTCGAGCGACAGAATTCGGTATTACGTGTGGCAATCATTCACCAGCATGAATAAGGGATCAACGACAAGACGGAGAGGTGCTTCTGAATGTTGGGATTCACCACTCCGACGGATGTCAGAGAGGAATATTCCGCTCCAGCCGGTCATTCTCTTCATGAGACCGCGCCTCTGCACTCGGAGCATGAAAAATGTCTCCTCTGCGGATAAAGCCAGCGAGAGATTTAATTCCTTTTCCCGGAAGCAGCCGGATTGCGATCCGCGAGGCTTTCACGTGTGTCTTTCCTGACGAATCACCAGCTTCTGACGATTCGCATGTGACTCGAATCCACTTGCATTCATAGCCATCCGCTTGTGGAGGGAAGAGGAAAAAATCCGACCCAATCTGAAGAGAGCGACAGCGAAATGGAGGAAAGGCAGCGGAGATCTCTTCCGGAACGTCTGACTCACCTGTTCAGGAAAATGGAGCTAACTTCGTCGTGAGTACAGGGGGGTTTTTGGGAACTTGCCGCCATTTTGAACGGTCTCAGGAAGCAGGAGACAAGCAGTTGAAGTTGTTCAACATACTCTTCTTCGGACTCCACCTGAAAATGCGGAAAACAACGAAACGCCATTAGCGACGGCAGAGTTCAATTGAGTCAGTTCTGTTTGACTCTGCTGCGTTTCCCGAACTCGCCGTGCCGGTGCTCTTCCCTTCCTTTTTCTTCCGCTATCAAGAACAACTTGTTCGTCCCCGACGGTCGTTTTTCCTCTTTTTGTAGCCGCAGGCTTGTCCGCTTCGGCAAGGAAGCAGTAGGGCTCGAGACGCTCACACAAACGCACACATACCTACCTCCAGACTCAATCGGCCCGGTTGACAGGCAGGAGGAGCCTGACATCAAACGGACGCAGTCGGATGAGATGCGTTACGAGTTTTCGAAGAGACGGAATTTCTCACGGGATTCCCTCACGATTCGAGAATTATTGGACGTTCGGCTCGGCCAGCGCTAGCCCGGTATTGCCCCTCGGGGGGCAATGGGGACGGAGCCGAATTCATTAGTAAGAAGTAGAATCGAATAACCATCACAGGCCGGGTTATCCGCGGAAACCAATCCGGATCGAGATACTTTTGATTCGCTCCCGATCCTGACCACGATATGGAAACCGCTAATATGAGAAGGTAAGGGGCACGCTTCGCGTGTCAATCGAGCTGTTCGTGTCGCGTAGCAACGGAGTTTTAATGCTGCTCTTTGAGTTTCCGGATATGCTCATCGAGATATATCCCGGCAGCGGACGTCATGGAGAAAAATCTCTCAGCGGGTTAATCATAATTCCTATCAATCAGCGCGGTGTCTCTCTTTCGGCTTCGTATGAGGGCTGAAGCGGTCACTCTTGAACTTTCCCGAGTAGCTGATCCCCCCCATATATAAAACGCTAAGTCTGTGTGTCACTCTGTCTGTCTGTAGACAAAAATTCTCACCGATTCCGACCAAAACGTCTGTGAAGCACGGACACCCCCTCCCATTGCTTGAAAGCACATCACCAGCTCGAACCTCATTTCGACACAGAAGTTATGCATCTATTCAAAAAGATCTACTTGATGATCTGGAAATTCCGCCCGATCTGCCGCCGCTACCGTGACGCGGTCGCCCCTTGCGCTCGCGCCAATGCGACGGAGTTCTGTTCTGCCTGCGTTCGTTTTCTGCGCTATAGTCAATTTTCCATTTCTACCATTCCGGGAATATTCCGAAGAGTGAATTTTCCATTTCTAGCATTCCGGGAATATTCCGAAGAGTGAATTTTCCATTTCTAGCATTCCGGGAATATTCCAATTTTTACGGAGATATTCATAAGGACCCATGGCCCATTCCGTCCGGAGTATCAGTTCAAACCCGATAATCCCTATGGAAATGACGGACAATTTTAATTCTGCGCTCCGTCTCCTTTGCCGCCGCGGCGGCGCGGCCGTTTCCGTTGTGAGACGCCAATGCGAATCTACGCAGAAATAGGCTCGAGTTCAAGATTTGCTCGATCGATTGTTTGCTCATCTTGGGGGTTCAATTGACTGTTCGGAATAGCGTTCAAGACTTTTCCGGTTGTATAGTGATATCATCAGGATTATCTATGGCGGATTTTCATGACGAAGATTGCGAGCCGACGAGTTTTAGAAACCGTCAGAAGGTGGTTAGTGCCAAAGCCCAACAACGAAATCATTTTTCTCATGGAATTGAGCGCATCGCGACAAACCGCCGCAATTCCTGACGGTGGATTTGCCGCTGCCTTCAACCTACGAATTCTCACCCGCGCAATCAGCTCGGGATTCCCGTTTGAGTCCACATTAAGGAGCGCGGCCGAAGGCCGCGTTCCCCAGGGCTGGTAATTGATAATCCTGATTCGGGACGAACAATGGGCAGTCGACTCCGAAGGTTCACGCGATTTATGATGAGTCAGTCTGACGCGTCGACGTGAAAGATGTTCGCATGGAGAGCGATCCTCGACGTGCGAGCTGAATTAGGCTTCTAAGACCAACAGTACAAACAGCATTAAGAGCTGAGTGAGTGAGCATATTTTCGGCCGCAGAACCCGAACAGCTGTCACAACATTCCATCAAGTCGGTGCCCACTAGTGGTGCCCGGTCGGATTTGTTTGCGTGAAGTTTCTCCTTTCGTCGCTCGAAGCACCAGGAACCCCAGTGAAGGAACGGGATGAGGAGCAACGACATTCGATGGAAACGCTCAACCTGAGGAGCCATCGTGTACACGGGAGCGGGAAATCTCGTGGAGCGGGCTGCTATGCGAGGTGAGCAGAAGACGCGGCGGCGTAGTGAATTATTCGTCTCACTGTCTCTTCCGCTATCTTCGCCGTGTCTGATATGACTCTTGTTCATTTCACGATCAGAGCCCGGCAATATGCTATGGACGTCCTCCTCCTCTGATCGACTCGGACGAAATCGTAAGAGGAATCCGAGTGGGCGAACTTGGACGAGGACTTCAGCGACTGCGCCCCGAGACAGAAGGGAGATCCTGTGTATAGAAGCAGCGCCTTTTCCGGCTATGTTTTACTATGAATGTTCGGGGAGAAGCTCGAAATCTCCACATCATCACGTATCAACCGCCGTCTCCGCTTGCCGGTGCCTCGGGATCAATGCCAGTCGACGACAGGTCTCTCCGCCTCCTGCAACCTGACTGGCAGGGACGAGTGGGCGAACAGGTGAAAAGCCGCGCAGACAGAATGAATATAGACGGCAGAGGGGGAGACGGCGTCGACGACACGTCACTCCTTAGCGTATTTGAACAAGTCCGCTCTTGCGGAGTATCAGCTGACTGGGCCGCAAGAGCCGCAGGTAGTCATCCGAGGACATCCGCTGAATTGCTCGCCGGCTGATGCCCCGGAGGATGCTGCGATGTCACCGCAAGTAACGAGCTGATCACAATGGAAAAACGCTGCGTCCGGAGCTCGAATGAGCCCGCGCGCACTCCAAGCGCCCGACCCACCTACCACGCAGCCATCCATCTCTCAATCGAATCTCTATCTCGGTTCCGCTCTCCCAAAGGTACGAACCCTCACGACAAAATAGGGAAACCATCCTCGAAAACGCGCTCTCGAGCTGCTTCCCTGTCGGTCTCGGCGGCTTGGATGGCTGTCGTTTGCTTGACTTTGACACACGACAAGGGTCGACTTAACCCTACCGGGGGCAGAAATGTGCAAATTGGCATGCTGACTCGTACCTCTGCAAGCTCTCGTTGTCGGTTCCTCACCGTGTTCCGAGCCAGCTTGAACGATTCTATCAGTCGATTCTACGCCTCACGCTAGCGCATAGCGAGGGCAGTGGAATTTCATTCCTCTGATTTCGTTCAGCGCCCTCGAAAACCGCTTTTCGGCTTTGCCTTCACTCTGCTCAGCTGGGCTCGGCTCCGCCAACAACGTGAAAACATCTGTCAAGTGCATTCTCGAACCTGAGCATTCAGTGATTTCATATAACGAATTTAAACGCCTTCACTCAAAAACCACAGACGCAACCTTTGGTGCCCCATGGGCCTGTCTGCCCTCCAATCCGTCAGCGACAGTTGGCCCGCTTGATATTTTCAATTGTTGTGACCGTTCGACTCGTTGTGACGACGATCCGTGCCCGGGTTGAAGATGAACGCCTCCCGGACAATTCAATCCGAAGTGCTGACCAAGCGCAGGATTCTACACCGAGCCAGGAACCTCAGGCCGATGACGTACCGCGTACGCTCCTCCGCTTGAAGGATCCGGAATCGATCCAGATTTGGAAGTAGCCTTCTCACAATGGCCGAGAGAGATATTTCTCGTGCGCCTTTATCAACGAGTCGACCGAGCGAAAAACCGATCAAGCAGTTTCCTCCGGAAGGCCCGCGCGCTGAGATCGATGTTACTCCGAGAAGCGAGGCGACCGCCGAGCAACTTCCGAAAAACTCGCCATGGATCCTGTTCATCCTAGCCAGGGTGCCCTCCTCCGGCCGACGATCACAGACAGAATTACAGGAGGCTTGACGTGTTCCTCCAGGAGATTTTAGGCTTATCGAAGACCGTAGTGAAATATCATCGCTCGTCGGTGGCGATGAAAAAACGGAGGGCGGGCTCCGACAAAAATTCAGCAAGATCTCAGGAAGCCTAGCTCGTCGGGTACCTTGTTTTTGAGCTCCGAGGTAAGGGTAAGGCCCGTTACTTGCAAATGAGAGAGTAGGAGCACGAATGTTTCTGCTGCGCTGGCTGATTCCGAGGCAACTCTCAGCCTTCGCACCGGATCCAGTCGACCGACGTCAGTGGCGCTGGTTAAACATTAACGCCTCCGTCCACAATTCGCGCTGTTCACTTTCCTCTACTCAATAAGTTAGCTCGCCGTGCACTACAGACTCCTCCGCCACCGAGGAACGAGACCGGTGATACGAGAACGATCGGAGTAGCTACACGAAGGCTCAAGTGAGCTGACGAATGACTCGAGGACAGAACCTACGTCTAGAGGGGGTTTCAGAAATGAGGTAAGGGCTCAGGTGAACTCAGGGATCACCGGTCAGGAGCGTCTTGTTGTTGCACTCCGCTAAATGGAGCATTTGCACTTAGACGGACGGATGGGCGGCGGCGGCGGCGCCTCCTCTTCTTGCTCCTGTCGTTTCCTCTTCGTCAGGTAGTGCTTCTTCCTTTTCTTCTGTTATTGCCGCGAGTGGCTTCGGTCGTCGCCGCGGCCACCACCACCACTTCGTTCGCCTCAGCTATCTAGTCAACTGATAGACTGAGAGCGCCGCTGCTGTGCAGCCGGGCGGCTAACAATGGCATCCCTCGTAGGCTTAGGGCGGACAAAGCACAACAACAAGGGAGCTTGCCGAGAGCTCCATTCGCTCTTAGTGTGTTGCTTCGGAATTCCCGCCGAGCGTGAATATATGTATGTAGGTACTAGCGCGACCCGCGCGCTGTGCCGCGCCCCTGTGCACCACTTGATAAAAATTCACCAAGAAGGAACAATTTATAAGAACAGACTACATAAGTCAAAGAATCCCTCACAAATGACAACGATAAAAAAAAGCGTCGGAACAGGGACCTAGTCTTCATATGACCTATTCTAAACGATTAAATACGTATAGCTTTTTACGCTATACCAGATGAAGCCATTGCTAGTGCAAGCCTACCCTGAGATCGAATTCTCGCCAAGCGAAGCGATAAAAAGGAGGTTTCTTCTGTCCCCCCTTGTGCATCTAGAAAATAGAACCTTCCTTCACGCATCCTAATTGCTTCCTCGAGCGTATCGTGAACATCACGTTGTTCCGGTAACAATTTCGGGAGATTGGTTTCCACGAATAAGGCTAAATCCTGAGCATTGTAGTTCCTTCCGCGGTCAATATCAGGATCAGAAATTCTATTTCCTGATCTATCAGTTGCGAACAATCCGAGTTGATTCAATCGTCGGTTCATAATGGATATGCACAGCGCGACCCGCGCGCTGTGCCGCGCCCCTGTTCACCACTTGATAAAAATTCACCAAGAAAGAACAATTTAACATTTTTTTGATAACAACCACATAGTCATCTGTCGGCATGAGCTCAAGAGAAGATCTGAACACTCGTACTAATTCGTTGTGCCGACGCAGCATGTCCTGTAAATCTGCAACAATCTCACGGATTGTTCCACTGTTGAAACGACGCCTCTGATCGATTTGCTCGTTTGTGTCGCCCATGAAATAAATCTGAAGGAATTGGTGATCAGCCCCCGGTAGCGGCAAGAGAGACCCAGCGCGATGATATACCTGACCTTGCACTTTGAAGGTGGGCATATAATTGTCTCGGATGATTTCCGTCGCTCCGGATGATGTCATTTGGAAACATGACTTATACTTTCGAATGTTTTTCAAAAAATGTCTTGACTGATTCGTGCTCCCAGATATTAACGTCGCTAAGGGCTCAGGCGGCGGACACAATTCAGGCAACTTGACTTTTCCTCCCGCACAGCACATGCCTGGGGTCTCTTTAGCAAATTTGAGTGCTCGGCAGAAATAACATACCTGATCCATTCTTCCTATATTCACACCACGATGCTTGCTGTAATCTATACCAGGGTCATACTCAAAAGCCGCAAGGTTCAAATCATTATGTATGCTACGCCTGACCTGAACATGCCGGGCTCTATCAGCCAACAATCTTTCCACCCGTTCGTCCTCCGTTTCCTCGGAATGGATTTGGAGAGTATGAGATTGGACCCCATCCAAGCGCGCAGGTCTTCGCTCATTCGTTTCATTAACTCGTGTCCTCGAATGCCGCAAACGGTCTACTTCCAGTTTCGCATTTCGACGATCCTCATCCTCTGTCAAACGCGCTCGCGAGTGCCATATTTTGTCAAGCTGCAGCCAGGCCGACAACACCGTCGAAAGCCCCTCGACGCTTCGGAGAGAACACGAAAGAAACTGTTAGAGTCTCAGCTTAGACATCGGATATCCCGACTGAGCTGGACTCATCACAAACCTTAAGAGCACCTGCGGCACCGACAGCTAATGTCTTCCCAAAGGAGCGAGATCAGAGATTATTCCGGAGTCCGATTCCGATCGAATTCATGGAATGTCATCAAAAAATAACGATGTTAAACGAAAGAGCGCGAAACGAAAAATAACGAAGCTCCCCCAAGAGGCAATTTGAAACACGAAATGACTGAATGACGGAAAAAGGGTCCGTTCTTCTCGGATCTGATAGGCTTAAAACCTTCCCAGGTACTACGTGCCTCGTCACGACAAATTCCAAGACTAAGCTACCTTTAGTTTCCAAGAATAGGCGACCATGACAGAAAAGTGGACATTCAATTTTATATATATAGATATGGAAAACCGACTTGGTAAAGACAACGCTGAAGACGACGAGAACAAAAACTAAGCAAGTCGGCAGACGTTGCCTGGATGTGACTTCTGCTGCTGCTGCTGTTTTATGCCCGCTAGCGCTCGGCGGTCCTACAATGAGGAGGAGCAAAGAGCGGACGCCGCGGCGCGTATGGTAGGTATCTCTTGCACAGCAGCCGATTCGCCTGGCTGATTCTTGTCAGCTCGGCCTGTCTGTCTTGCGAGTATCGCATTCGTTGGACGACGGCGTCGGCTCAGGGACTAATACTGATGCGAAACGTACGAACGTCTTCTCGCCAGAAAAGGAAACTCGTCCTCGTATCGATTCGGACGTGGGAAAATATAGAATCCACGGGGCCGGGCTGCGGGATCTATCGAGCGAGCCGGAGCTCGCGTCGTCGATGAGGAACTCCCGGAGTTATCCTCGTGGATGATAACGAGAAGATACGTACCATGCGGAACACGAGCGAGTTTCGTTTTCTCATGTTTTCGGCGTGTGGCGAGCTTATGTACTCCGCCACAATCTGCTTCCATCGACGGCGGCACAACCAACCTCGGAAGAAACTCTGCACTTTTTTGATCTTCTTGATCTCCTCGCTCTCTTCGCTCGTAGCAAGTGCCGGTGTGCCGTCACTTGCGAGGATCATCGGTCTGCTTGGGGTAAGACGCCACTCCTTTTTCAACGTGCAGAGCTGAAATTAGCATTATCAGAGTCAGTCGGGGAATCGTTAAGCCGAAAACGAGCCTCTCAATCCACGAGGGTTTCCTCGAGGATTTTCGTCGAAGATTTATTGAAAAACTCCAAAGCCCGATGAATTCAGGACACGCGGCGACGCCCCGAATCGTTCGGCATCACGGAAGCAGAATTAAAAATATATGGGAATTCCGGTTCTCTGGTGCCTTCGGAATTACGTGACGGGGCCACGGAGATTACAGGAACAATTATTCAGCGTCCAAGAAGTTGAACCCGCAAGCAGGACGAATGCAGACGGGAGGAAACGAGCGAATATATGCACCTGAGAGAAGCAACTGCTTGGAGTATGAGGTGGCATTTTTATTATATAGAAGATGCATTATGCATGGGAGGGGCACGCGCGAACGCTCATCGTGGCTTTGGTAGCAAACCTCACATACATATAGAGTACGTCTTGACGCGACGTCAACTGTCGAGAATCTCGGGAGCTAGACAATGTGTTACCGATAACACTGACGATCTCTCCGGAGGCCCGGCCGTCTTGCCTAATGTCGGCATCGGTGCGTATGGGATTTGGTGAACTTATCGAAAAACCCACTCCTCTCTCGTGAGCTCAGTGTGCCGAAAGCGTCTCCCGCAACCCTCCCGCTATGCGCCGTTCCTCCGGAACTGGGTGCCGGGCGTGAACGAACTCATATGCAGAATGTCTAGACATTCTGCCAATAAAGCACAATTGGAGACCTAGAGACCCGTGCAAAGTGCATCGGGGAACACGCTGAGACAGGTTCCACCTTAAGAGTTCCTGTACGACGCGCGCCGTCTGTTTCGAGTCACCCAAGCCGGGCTCCGCTGCCGGCTGTCAGAACGAACGGAACTCCGGAACAGATGCGCGCGTATCTTCGTCTCTACCTCCGAAAATCTCTGCGAGTCGCCCCGAGTCAGACTCCGGAGGGGGGGGGGGTCCCTTTGCGACAGGTCCGACCGGCGACGCGACGCTGGCGCCGCCTCAGATGACATGGAGATTTCTCCCCTGTTCGCGGCCTCCCGAATACTGGACATGAATCTCCATTTAGTCCGAAGGTCTCGACGATCCTCCCGGGTTTTTAGGAAATGCGGATTCATTGGGATGAATAAGTCGGGGAAGGGATCGATTCCCCCTGGTGAGAATCGCCGCTGCAGAGATTCGAAACCCTTGTTGAGATCGGGAGATTTCGTACGCTTTTCCAGAAGCGTTCCCGTCGTAGAGAGAGAGAAAATGGATGGAAAAGAGCACACGAATGCGGCTGATCCTTCCCTCCGTCTTCCCGCCCTCGTTCCACGCGGGGCGTAATGCGAGGAGGGTGACACTTTTTTCGGGCTAGATAATCTCATTCAGACAAGTCCGAGGTGAACCACACGATGGGTCTTCATGGTGCCGCTCGTTCTAGGGCAAAAAACCCACTGCTCTCCTTGAGTTTCTCCTAATCCCCTCTAGGAAACCTCGTCAGCTTATCTGCTGAGAGGCGCTAAAATCGATAATTAAAACCACTAGGTCCCTCGGTCGAGGCGTGGAAGGAAAAAATCGGGTGGGTCCTGTAGGAAGCGAACTCTGATCTTCGTGTAGTAGTTACGCTCCGAGGACCCGGGAAGCACCGAATAGCGGTCAGCAATCCTCGATTCACACGATTTATTCCGCCGTAGGCTTTGATCTATGCCCACCGAACATCAACCCTCATGAGGATTCTTTTTTTTTCGTCCCTCCAGACCCTGTCCCTCAATACGGGAAATGCTGCCCGTTCCGAGACAGAATCGATCGTGATTTGGGACTGATGTGAAAACTTGTGAAGCCTTAACCATTGGTCCGACCTCGGGACTCCCAATATCCTGAGGATTATTGTTCGGTTCTCCGCTTTGTCTCGAATGAGAATCCCGGAGAATGAAGAACTCAGGGTGAATGTTGCGGAGTTTGATTTTCTGCCTACCCTGCTCTGCAGTGTTTTTCCTTGGTGGGAGCCGCTGGAGCTGACAACCGCAAGCGACTCCTCGTCAGAACATCACTAGAATGCCTAGCCTCCCTCTCTCTCCCACAGACCTCTGAATCTTCTTCCTCTGTGGTTGGTCTCTCCGCTGTTTTTCTTCTCTGCTTCATATTCCCGATTCCCGAACCATCCCGACCGTAAAGTGTATGCGTTGGGTTCGACCCGGAAGGCGGGCGTGTTTCGGAAATTGGATTTAATGTTGCGCGCCATCGTTTTCGAATTGCAGGGCAAGAAGAAAATAAATGTTTTGGAAGGAATCGGCGACGAACAATGCTCGTACATTCATACACAAGCGAGGCCGAGCGAGCTCTCACCCGCAAGGTTCCCGAATCACGTCGTTACGCGGAGTGCCGCTTGAGCTCTCACTCAGAAGAATTCATGGAATCCTTGGCAGAGGGACTCCGACTCGAAAAAATCGAGATAGATTACTCTTCACGGAGCAGATCCCCAAGGGCGCCCAAGAAGAACTACGGCGAACTTTTCGAAGATAGTTCTGGATGAATCCCAACCCGGAGTTCAGCCCAGGAGTATGTGAAGGAAATCGTAGTTTCGGGAAGGAGGAAATAAAAGTCGCTCACCTCGGCTCGGAGCTTCTTGATTTCGACAGTGAGCTCCTCGCATTGTTGAGTGTATTGCCACTTTGCAGTTTTTTCACTTTCCACTATTTGTACGAGATGTAGATGTTTTTGCTCAAGTTCTTCCTTCTGAAGAACCATTTTGCTGAAACTGGAAGGGGAATGTCAGTAGGTGAGAACTTGACATAGCCGATATTCAGTGACGGGATCGAGGTTGAGATTGCTTGCTAGGCGAGGGGCTAGAAGATTTCGAAGCTCGCGAGACGAGACGCTCGATCGAACGTTCATGCGTCAGCTAAACATGGAATGCTCCCGAGCGGAAATCCCGAATCCCCTTGTGTATACGGCCGTTTCGCGCCCACTGGTATCCATGCAAACAGAGTCAAGTCAGTCTTCCTGAATACAGGCAAATGAATACGTGCTTCACATACGGAGCTGGCGAGAACTTCCTACAGCCGGGGTCGAAAGCACCGCGGCATGAAACGCGTAATTAAGCCATTTGCAAGCATGCTCTCGCACAAGCGACATACGCAGCGAGAAGAGCCTTTGAACATACAGGCGACACGACAACGAAAAGATGAAAGGAGCTGCTTCAGGACAGAAAGCGACAAAATGTGAAAGACGCTGCTCCGGGTGAGCGTGCGAGGAACACGGTCGAGGGGGATCTAGAGAAACAGAGAAAATTGTAAAAAGGAGACATACCTCGCAGCGTCAATGGCTTGAACCCAGTTGTTGCATTCCTGTTCGGTCTCGGCCTTCAATTCGTACATGCGAGATCCCTCCTTTCGGTAGCTGATTTGAAAGATGTACTGAAAGGAGAAAAGCAGAAATATATTTTTCAGCTCCGCAGCATCCACGGTCGCCATTTTTGATTGGAGTTTCTTGCTATTTCCTCGGCTTCTCCTGAGAGCGGCAGCAAAGGCAGGCGGAAAACGAGACGGGGCCGGAACGAGACGAAGTCGGAGACGACAGAATGAAAGACAACGCGACCGGCGGGATCAGTTCGTACTTTTCCAAGGAATCAAATAAGACTTGCGACTCGAGTACCGGGACTCTCGTCGTTTCCAATCCCGCCTCCTACTGTTTGCCAGCGGTCGGCGAATCGAAACTACCCCGAGCTCGGGAACCGATTCCTTCTGCTCTATCTATTTCGAGTTCAGAACCCGACCGACTGGACGCCGAGGTAATGACAAACTCTTATACAGGATCGGACTCGGACGCGAGTATTCGGAGGGGGCATTTTTTCCTCCTCAGCTCACGGTCGACAATTCTCCGTCGTACATCGTTCGATAATTGCGGAGTTGGGAACATATTCCGTTTTGCAACGATTCATTCACCATCATCCGTCACGCGAAGCGTTCGACGGGAGGAGGGAAGAAGCTACCTAATTGAGCCAATCCGAGGACAGAATTGTGGCTCATATACATGAGAGCACATCCTGCCGAGGGATAATCGATCACCGTGACGCAGCATAAAGGCGAGCGGGCAGACGGCCAGGAGAGGACGTACGGCCGACGACCGACTCCCTCGATGTGCGATCAAGCAGCGCTCCCTCGAACAACCAGTACCCTGAAGACCACGGCCGCGTGCAATCCGCGATGAAGACCGTAAAAGCAGCCACTGGGATCATCCGCCTTGGTGACAATGTCGACGTGCGGCAGGGTGAATACGATTTATTTTACATTCATTCATATTCATACAATATATATATAGATATTCGTTTCAAAAGCGTAGAGGCAGGCTCAACTTTTACGAACGTCGAGCTTTTGTCGCAATCCCCCTGCCGTCCTAATCCTCAATCGGATCTTACAACGATCCTCGGGACGACGAAACGAGCAGCGAATACGGCCACCGAACAAAGAGCTGAAAGTCTCCGGTGTTTCGACGAGACCAGCTTTCGAAAGCGGCCGCAGCCCCGAGTCGCCGTCCTCCGCGAAGATTCGTCTTCGATTACGCGCAGCCATCTTGCGGGTTCACCTTCGGAAGCTCCGAGAGAACGGAACGACATGTTTATCTTGCGTCCGAGAGGGCGAGGGACAAGATCAAAGGTTCCCTTCGCTACTCCCGTCGTTGTAATCTAGTTATTATTGTTGTTGCTGCTGCTGCTGCTGTCCAGGTAAGAACATTGCGGTTGTCTGCTAATTGTCACATACATATCTCGCGGGGTATTCCGTGACAGGGAACGGAATGAACGATTTGTCTCCGTATGATACCTTCCAGACACCCCGTTATATCCATACATCTGAGCGAATTCCGCCGCTGATGGTGAGAGCTCGCCGGAAACAGCTTCTGATGGAAGAATTCCCCGCATCCGAAACATGGAAGGGGACAGACGCAACACGCAATCTCTCTCGCAGCGCTTCTCGTCGTCGTCCCCCTTTGTGGCGTCTTCACTACTATGCTCTCGTAATCAAACCCTACGATCATCATCAGTTACTCGGGGTTTTATAACGACAGCTGGCTCGTTCATACCCCGACACATAGTATCCCGGCATCTACTCGGCTGTACTTCCACGTGAGAGCGTAATCTCAGCCAGGTTTGTTTCTCGGAGCGAATCGGATTTTCCGTCGCCGTTCCAAACATAAGGATGGAATCACTGCCATCGATTCCGCCGCATTCGTTCCTCCGCTACGTAGAAATAGAACTGTATTTTCTTGGGAGACCGGTCCAGATGGCAAAACAATAATACGGCGGATTTGGCGTCGCTCCGAAATCGCTTTGGCGTACGGGCTCGAGACATTGAGGACCTTTTCTCAGAATCGAACGGCAACTCTCAGAAAACGTCGTTGAATCGGTAAGCTGTTCCAACTCCCCCACCGGCCGGATAACTCCCAAGATATGGTCCGAGCCATGGGCGAGGCCTCCGTACGAGGAGCGGGAGCTAGAGACAAACTCGAGGTCGAAGTGATATTCACGCCGCCATGTGGCCGATCGTCGAAGTCTCCGGGAAAGAAACTCTCCAAGCTGCGAGCTCGACGTCGCCGACGGTGGTACTGCGAGCAGCGCCGCTCTCATGGGCACTCACAGATCTCCCTACGGATCGTACGTTACGGCACGATTAGCAAACTCAAAGGACCAGAAAAAAGAACTTCTTCGTGGTCTTTTCACTGTCCCACTCGACTGGAGCGGGAGAGAGACAGAGGGAGCTCGGCTGCCGATTGTTCGCTGAGTTTTCAGCGTGAGACCGTTCCGAGCAAAAGAGTTCATTCCCCTGTTGTGGCCGGTGGAGGGAGGGGGGGAGAAACTCCTACGGGGCTTGGGACTGGCCGCCTTTTTCTCGTGATGGCTGCGCACTTCCAGGAAACGTTCCTTTCATTTCCATATTCGAAATGACGGAACCTCAAGCATCGCTCGTTCGTTCCGAGAGCGGTATCTCGCTAGGATGTCAGAGTAAGTGGACAGGCGACCGAACGATTATTGTCACTTTCTTCGTGTCCAACGGTGACGGAACTTCGAGCAGTAATTGAAAAGGACTTGCTCTCTGAAGGACAAAGGCGGTCGTCGTCCGCTTTTCTTTGCTCTGTCGATTCCTTAGGTTTCCCTGGCTCTACAGGTCCCCGATGGCGATATCCGTCCCTATTCTTCTCGCTCTGAACCTTCCCCGCCACCTATAGATGTCCGCTGGGTATCCCGAGCGACGAGCGTCGATTCTCCGTCCGATCGAGCTCGTACACGCAGAGCGTTTTCAGCGTTCCATGTGATATGCTCGATGAGTATCGAGCGAGCTCTTCTGACTCACAGGAGGAATTATTTGTCTCTCATCATCGCGCTTGTCGGTCGTCGCGAGGGACGTGAACCTCAAGGTGGCATTACCGTTTCCCGAAAGAGGAGCATCCCGATGGGAAAGGAGATTCGGAAAACGGGGAAAAATTCAACTATCGAAACCTTTGAGGGTTAGATGATTTTTCCGCGTGATGGCCTCCTCCGATTTCTCGGAGAGTTCACAGCTGGCAGTCGGGGAGTCCCGTTTGGGAAGAACCAGCTGTGAAAGGTAGCCGCAGAGAACTGTCGTCATGGCAACTCCAATGCTCTCTCTAAACTTCCATGTCTCGAGTTTCCCGGTCCGAAGAGCTTCCAGCGAATCCGGAAGAGCAAATGAGTGGCACAGCCAAGACAAGGATCAAAGTCTAACTGCGTCGATTATTGCCACGAAAAAAATCACTGACTCGAATCGTCGGGTTCGGGAGTCGCAGGAACACAGAGTCCTGAGGACGCGTTCAGGACGAGAGGGATAGCGAGAGGCACGGTCGACGGGTTCGCTTCTTCCTTTATCTCTCAGCATTTTCCGACGGCCCCTGGAGACGTCGTTTGGTGCTGTGGCGTCGGTAGCTCCTTTTTGAGGCAACGAAGCCAATGGAAATTGAATGCAGCCCGCCACTGGCACCCACCGTCAGCGCCTGTTTTCCGCCGCCTCCGCCGTGCACTGCACCACACTGATGATCTTGCGCTGCAGGCTTTTTTCTTCTCTTGCCTCTGCCGTCTTTTTTCTTGAATCGGTCGGTCGTTACATCCCGGACGACGACGAGGGTGAGAGCTCCACTCCATTATCGGGTCGTTCCACGTTTTTCTGGTTTCCCGGCTCCCTGTTAAAATGCCGAGCGGGCTGTGTTCGTCAATCCATTCAGCTTCCAGGGATATCTCCCTTTCACCGGTGAGCTTGTGAGCGATCAAACAAGTGAATCGTTTCAGCGCTGTCAAGTGGAATCACACCTCCGAGGTGCGCTCCTGTGAGGAGTCGTTTGCACCGTCTCGCCCAAAACCCTCGGCGGGTTGAAGCAGCAGAAGAACGCTCTACGAAGAACCCACTGAGGGAAGGACTCAAGAAATACTCCTGAGGTAGTTTCGCCCGGGAGGCAACTTGATCCTCGGACAGCTCCATTCAACGGCACAATCCAGCAATCCCGAGGGCTGGCTGTTCCGTGAGTCCGTCTCGAGTTCAGAACGAGAGTACCGGCCTGATTTATTTCTCTCAACGAACTGAGACTCTTTCCCGTTTCACTTCTGACGGTTCCCAGGTGAGCTCACTGCGACCCACGAATGTAGAGACGCTCGGCCGGCAGGACTGATGGATGGATGAACGGACGGACGGACTGTTGCTGACTGAGTGGCTTCAAAGTGAACTTGCGTCCCGAGTTTTTCTGTCCCATCTCGCTTCTCACCGTATCGCTGTCGTCCATCCCTCCCTCGCTACCTATCTACCAACCTACGTACCTCTCGGAGAGGATAAATCTCTTTCGGGCGGCCGAGAATGCTTCGAATCCATCCCAGCATCCCAATTGTTTCATCCGAGGAATTCACCGTCGCTCAAAATCAACCGTCGACGGGCTCAAAGAGAGCGAGCTGAATGGGACGAAATACCTCACGAGCTCTCTCTGATCCTGCCAGCAAGGAAAAGGATCGCAGCCGACTCTGTTCGAATCAAAGCAGTCATCTCCCGTCCCCTGCGCTCGGTTCGAGTTCGTAGTGTAACGAGTCAGGTTTCGCATCGGGTTTCTTTGGATTCACTGAAACCATGGAGAAATCTCATTTCTGAAGAACGTTGTCCGACGACCGACCGACCGACCGACCCATCGACCTACATACACGTGTTCCCTTATGGCGGCCCTATCCTTTGAATTCCGCAGAGCCCCCGTAATTTCCATACACGACCGAGAACGGCACGACGGACGAAAGGCTTATCAACCCGACTTGAAACTTCGTTCACATCGTAACCTTCAAGTTATCCTGTCCCCTCGCTCCTTTTACGCGGTTCATTATTCTGACCGGTGCTGCTTCGTTTGAAGTCAGATATCCAATCGGAGCCCCGCAGAACACGCGCCACGTGCAAGTCCGCCGTTCAGAGTCCCTCGCTTCCGAGAAGAAGGT